GGAGCCCGCACCAGCCACCAGCCCCCATCCCCCATCCCCACCCCTGCCCTCACCTTGCCTCGCCTCACCTCGGGGAGGAGCCGCTGCCTGCCCTGCTTGAGGACTGAGGAGCTGACCTGTAAGTGTCCCACACGGGCCCTGGTGCCTCCCTTCCAGTTCTATCAAACAATTGTGTCCAGCCCATGGCCTTCTGATTAAATAAAATGTTATGTGATTAGTTACTGCATTGCACTTTAGAAAGCTTTGTACTGTACAGTGTATATCATTTATCGGTGTATATCATTTATAGTTGATTAAATAGTTGATTTAAATATGGTGTTTATGGTCATTTCTATAAAAAGCTGGGCATCAGGCCTTTGGTCAGGAATATAGCCCCTTATTATAACATTGTTCCTATAGGAAAATCAGATTCGACTTACATCGTTTCGACTTACAGTGCCCTTTCCAGGAACATAACCTGCCGTAAGTGCGAGGACTGCCTGTACTTGTAAAGCACATTATGTACTTTGGATAGAAGTAGGTGTAAAAGAACAAAGTTTTTGTGATCAAGACACCTTGATCGTGCTGCACTTTCCAGGTAGGTCACATTTCATGGGCTGCTTGGAAAGTTGCTTATGTATTTAAATACAATTGCCGCTCTGTAAAATCCTTGCCAAGGAGCAGATTTTTCCAAATAAGGCTAAAGATGTATCCATAAGTTAGTGTGGATCAATTGCAAAGGCCCAGGGGCTCTGCAGTGCATTTCTGTTTATCCCAAAACTAGCCATACTGAAAGCGCTTTCCTTATTGTCCCTGCAGCATGTCCACCCACAAGCTGACAAGTGAGGCCTCCTTCATCTTCTATGAATTCTGGCAAGATGTGACTTCATGGAGAAGGTGTGAGGTGTAGTGCAGTCCTTGTGTTTGTATGCCAGGTGATAAAAGCTAAATCCAGGACAGCCCAGAAACCACTGAGCCAGGACTTCCATTTGGATGTTCGGTCATGGAGCCCTTTTCAGCCTTTCTCTTTCTGTGCCTAACCTGATCCAACCTGTACCACATCATGGCTGAGCTGTAGCAGGAGTCAATGAGGGTATTGTGTGTTCAAGAGAAAAGGCCTTCTAGTCCCTGGAGTCCAAAGCCCATCATGCTGCCCTACCCTATGAGCATGTACAAAGGGGTGGGCAGAAGAATCTGCATACACACAGGCTCAAAAGCACACAGGCACAACCACAAGTTCCAACCCCCCTGTATGTACAGTGATGCTGATGCATCACACTGATGTCAGTGTTGTCTATGTTGTCTTAACTCTCTTCTTGCTTTGCAGCCACCTGCAGTCCAATTACAGCAAGACTTTCCAGCGGGCCATCATTGACTTGCTGGAGTCTCCAGAGCTCATGACTACCATGCTCTTCCCAGGTAGGTTATTCTTTAGCACAGGCCAATGTAGATGAAGTACAAAAAGGAGGTGCTCACTCTGGGCATCATCCAGCTTTTAGCCAAGAGTAGTGCCCATTAAAGTCATTCCATACCATACACAGAGGGGTACAAGTAGTGGGTTTTTTGGTTTGGTGTCCAATTGGAAAGAACAGCAACAAAAGAATGTTCCAGTTGTTGCAGCTGTTCTAGATCAAATGAAATAATATTGTTTGACTCCCCCCTATCCCCCATAGGCAAAAAGGTACAGTTTAATTTGTGGGTCATATAATCTTTTGGGGCCTTTAAAAAAAAAGAAAGAGGAATGTATACATTTCAAAATGGAAAGTCATAATATTGTGCTTTCACTTTTCCAAAATCGGTTTTCAGGTGAAACTATTTGCCAAATGTGTCCTAAATCCATGACTAGTTTCAGTGGCTCTCAAACTCTGTTTTTGAGCAGACTTACTATTCACCAGTAAAAATTCATCCATTTTTAACTGGACACCAAGGACACATCCCCATGAGTGGGAATGTGCAGCTTGCGGCACCTCATTTCCTTTGAGGCACTGCAAAATGCACATGGCACAAATTAATCTTTTCACTGCACTGCATATTTGCAACACAGGGCCAAAATTAGATAGAAGGAAATCCCAGTATCTAAAAAAAAATGTGCCAAAGAAAACCAGTACAGCACACACGGCAACAGCATTCACCATGCAGAACTGGAGCCTAGTTGGCCAAAGCCACACTCCAGCTGCCTGCCAGACTCTGTGCATCTGGATTGCTGCTGCTGCAGCTCTGGGGGCCCCCAGGACCACAGGTAAGGCCTCTAGAACCTCAGCCTCCTCTACACCCCCCAAGGCAATTTGACATGTGCCACAGTGCACGTGCAGGGGTGTGCCCAAAGACAAGTAGCAGCAGCACAAGTATGTGCCACTGTTGTTTGTCCTCAGGGCAACACACTTGCGTGCTCATGGGTACGCACCCCAAGAGTCTATAGTAGAAGTCTGTTCACCCACCAATGAAATGCGCCAGCTCCAGGATGGAATGCAGCAGCTGTTTAACAAGGCACAGCCACGCAAGAGCTTCAATGAGGAAGTGAGGAAGAAAACTTAGCTAGAGAGAGAACTGAGTGGCACAGAGTGAAGCCATTTGCATTAGGGTGGGACACATAGGTGGAGGAAGAAAAGTAAGTCTGTGGGGGAAGGGGCAGGGGGTGGGATGCAGATTGAGGCCCTAGCAGTGAGGGAGGTAGAGAGGCACAGGCAGGAGCAAGGGCTAGAGTGAGTGGGGCCCCAGCCAGGTCAGGTGGTGGAACAAGTGGAGGCCGGGGGGGCACATGCCCCCCCTTCCCCCCTCCCTCGATCTGTGCACAGGGTGGAGGCGGTTGCTGCTGCATGTTGCACTTTGAGCCCCGCTGCTCCGAGGGCCACGTGACACCATATGTGTTCTGCTGCCAGGCAAGCAGGGGGTACGGCACAGCCTAGCAGCAGCAGGCACATGCCATCAGCTGCTCCTGGGGCAGCTGCAGCAGGGAGCAAAGTGCAGCGCACAGCAGCAGCCACCTCCACCCTGCACACAGATTGGGGGAGCACATGCCCCCTGGGCCTCTGCTTGTCCCACCACCTGGCCCGGCCAGGGTCCCACTCACCCCAGCCCCTGCTCCTGCCTGTGCCCCGCTCCCTCCTTCCCCACTGGGGCCTGGATCTGCCCCCACCATGGCAGTGAGGGAAGGAGTGGGGCTGGGGGTGGGGCAGCAGCAGGCCCTGCACAGCCAGGGCGGGGCATGGGATGGAGCCAGGAGTGGCTTGTCCAGGGGGGCGGGGGGGGCAGTTCCTGTCACTGCATGTACCCCAAGAGGGCATGGGGGGTGCGTGCCTCGGATCTGTGCGTGGGGTGAGGGCAGGCTGCATCTCAGGGCTGGAGCCAGAGGTTCTTCCTGGTGGGGCTTGGGGTGGGCTGTGCTTGAGGAGAGTGGTGGCAGCACTGAGAGGGAGGCTTGGGGGGGCTACGGTGAATTTTGGGGTGGCTGCAGCCCCTCTCCAGTCCCCGCTCCAAGCACTGCCACCATCTACCCCAAGCACAGCCCAGCCCTGCACTAGGAAGAGACCGGTGCCACTCCAGCCCCAACCCATGCTGGCAGCCTCCCCTTGCCAGTAAAACACATGAGGAATTTACTACCACCAGTGCAGGAAGCCCTATCTCTTCCCATTATCCCCCATTTACAGAAGCGGAACTGAGGCCCAGATGGGGGAAGTCACTCGCCCAGAGCCACATGGGAAATCTCAGGCAGACTGACTCCAAGTCCTGCCTTTCTTCTGTGTCATACACCTCATGCTCCCCATTACCCATCTGTGTCTCATGAACTTTTCCCATTTGCTTCTCCAGCTTCCTGGTGGATCATGAACAATAACTGGTCCTCTGCTGATGTCCCTGGAACTGTAGAATAAGGAGTCTTCATCACAGACACCCTGGCTCCCTCTTCCCCAGAATGTCTTTAGTCTCCCCTTTCGCCATCTGCTGTACAGTGCTGTATGCTCCACCTGGCTGCAGTGTGATGGTTGGCAGCTCAGCCTGGCATTTCCTGGCTACTCTGGGCTTTCATTTCTCTATCCTTACAGTGTGATTTTTCCAGATGATGTCATCGCCAGCAAATCAGTCTTTCCCAGTGTGAAACCCAACCTCCAAATGTACAGTCATCGAGGAAGGCAATCCATGGCCACATAATTGGATAAAGCACCAGTGACAAAGATACTTGACATAAAGCTGCCTTTAGAACCAGTGCAGGGTGATGATTTGCAGGGGGGAAGAATGCCAGTAGGTCTGAATAGGTGGGAGTAGGCATGCTACAGAGATAGCAGGCTGAACCTGACCTGGTGTGGAAAAGAGAAGGCCAAGAGGGAGAGCTATGCATTGTCCTCAAAGAGCCCTTTGGTGGTGAATTCATGGCAAGGCCACAAGGGATGCTGGGTAAAGCCATGTCCAGCTCTTCCTTGCCAGGAAAGCAAGATGGGTCCTTTGAGGATGGAGGTGGAATGTGAAATGGAGTGATTCTTTGCTCTGAAAGAGGCTAGCAGATTGATGGAGTGCTCAAACCACTGTTGATGAGTGTGAGATGGAAACATCCAAATCCCTGTAAATGGCCCCAAACTATGTCTAAATGAGCTTAGCAAGGACACTGCTTAGCTTTTGCAGTTCCCTACTTACTGATGACAATATATTAGGCAAAGTGAGAATGAGAAGGCAGTGCACCCACATCCAGAAAGTGTAGTGTTAGATCACTATAAAGTGAGTATACTAATCCCATGAACTGCTCTGATTTTGTGAAGCATGAGGTATGTTAGTATCAGGCCTTCTCAGCCTCTTGTTTTCACCATCTAGCCACTTTGGGTAGTGGGCGAAATGAGCTCTATCATCTTGGTATAGGTTCTTCCAGGAGTGTCCACATCTCCCACACTAGTACCAGCCCAGCATCATTGGCACAGGCTGGCATCCCCATCAGATGTCTCTATGGAGCAGCCAGATAATGAATGAGAGTTGGAGACTGAGCTCCCACTTCCAGAATGGATACCTCTGGGTTTATGTCAGGCCAGTGCCATACTGAGGGTCTCTGGCACCTGGGGGCCAATGCTTACATTTGCATACCCTCCCCCCACATTGCAGAGTGGGGGGGGCAGTCCCCCAGCACCTGATCGCAGACCCAGGTGGGCGGGGGGAACCAGAAACCGGAAGCACTTCTCTGCATCGTTGCCACCGCTTCCAGTTTTGCAGACAGCTGGTGCCCCACCCCCTCCCCCAGCCCTGTGGCCAGGGGCCATGGCCCCCTCCCCCCTTTTGCCCCC